TGATAAAAAAGTAATGATGATAATAATGGTAAGGGTGATGATAATGTTAATGATAATGATAATGATTATAATAATAATAATGATAACAACTGTAATAATAATGATAATGATAATCATAATAATATTGAAAATGATGATAATGATAACAAAAATGATAATGGTAAGGGTGATAATTATAGTAATAACAATAATAGCATTAATGACAACATAATAATGATATCAATAATAATGATATTAGTAAAAATAATAGTTATAATAACAACAGCAACAACAATTATAATGATGATATAATAATAATAATAACAATGTTAATAATAATGATAATATATGATAATAATAATAATAAAATAATAATAATAATAATAATGATAATAATAATAATAATAATAACAATAATGATAATAATAATAATAATAATTAAATATATAAAATAATAATACAATGATAATGTTTACTATTATGTTATTATTGTTGGTAATCATTATATTGATGATAATAATAGAAATTATAACAATGATAATAAACATTATTATGAAAATAATAATGAAAATGATAACAACAAAGTAATAATGATAATGATAATGATAATAATGAAGGTAATAACAATAATAAAGATAATAAAAGGAATTGAGACTAGAATGATGATGATAGTTATAGTAAGAAGAATAATCATGGGTAACATAAAAGTATGATAATAAGGTCCATAATGATCAAAATAATGATAACATAATAAATGATAATGATAGAAATTATGATGAAAATGATAATGATGACAATAATAATTCTAGTAATTATGATCATGATAGTGATGAGATTCACGGTGATAATGAAATAATTATATCAAAAACAATGATGATAACAATAATAATTGCTATCATAAAATAATATAATGATCATGATAATGGTACCATTAATATTAACTTTATAATTATAATTGCTATAGTTACCATTATTACTATTCTCATTATCATTATCTTCATTATCATTATTATCATTTTGCTCTTATTATCATTATTATTACAATTATCATTATCATATTTATCGTTATCATTAGCATTGCCATTATTATCATCGTTACCATTATTGTTATAATTATTACCATCATTATTACATTTTCATTATCATTATTATCATCAGCATTACCATTATTATCCACATATTGCTAGAATAATTATTTCTATTAACATCATTGTCTTATTATCACTGTTATCATAATAACCATCATTATCATTATTATGTTATTATTGTCATAATTAATTACTATTGTTGTCATCATTAATATAGCTATTATCATTATCATTAAAATGATTATATTGTTGTTGTTGTTATTATCATATCAGCAGCGAGCACATTATTGTTATTTCATTATTATTACTATCACTTTTAGTATCATCATGATTGCTATCATTATTATTGTTATTGTTGTTATTGCTATTAATATCATTATTGTTTTATTGTCATTATGATAATCATATTTGATAATAATACTAATTATCATTATCATTATTATTACTATTATTGTTATTGTTATTAATGTTATTATCTTTATCTTTATCATTAGTGTTATGCTGATGTTTATTAATTTTATCATTATCATGATTATTTTTATCATTATCATCATCATCGTGATTATGACTGTTAATGTTACTATCATTATTAGGATGACTCTTCTTCCTTTATTATTGTTATTGTTATTATTATCATTATTGTTATTTTTCTTTTTTTGTATGTAGCAGTAGTAGTAGTTATAGTATAGGTAATGGTAATAAGCGTAGTAGTGGTTGTGGTAGTTGCAGTAGTCATAATTATTGTTATCATAGCTATCATATGGTGAATGTTATGATTTTGCTATCTTTATTATCAATTTTGCTTTACTATTACATTGTTAATCAATATTAGATATCATTATGATCATTAGCAATTTCATCATTGTAGTTATTTTCCTTATTATTGTTAACAATGTTATAATCACTCTCACTTTAATATCCATTATTGCGATCATTATCATTGTCGTTATTATCATCACCATTACCAATTATTATCATCAACCATTACCATTATTATCATCAACCATTACCATTATTATCATCACATTACCATTATTATCATCACCATTATTCTTATTATTATAATGATCATTTCCGTCATGATTGTGATTTCTATTTTATTACTAATATCATTATTCCTATTAGTATTACTATCATGGTTATTATGAATGACGTTCAAACATAGCACTTTTGTTGTAGATTCTTTGAAAATCTGATCAAATTATTGGTGCGTATTTATGTTTGTATATAAATGGGTGAATGCAAAAGAGGATAATTTTTTATATTTCATTCACTTTTGGCCTTTTTGGCGTCGCGAAATCAAAAGCAAGTGTATTTATGTGTATCCAATTTTTGAGAATTATCTTTTTCGTCAGTTACAATGATCAATTATGAATTCTATTTTTATTTTATTAGATAGACATGATTCATTAAATCGAGACATAATTTCCTTTTTAGATAGATATGCAGATTGATGAATAAGCGACATACAGTGAATTAAATAATGGGGAATATGGTTATAACCCTATCAATGGGATATTTTCAAAATATTCTCTTTAATTCTTCCAAAAGGATCTCAATCGTTTTCCACATAAAAAAAAAAAAAAAAAAAAAAATAATAATAAACCAGGTTTTGACGTCAGAAAATATACCAACATAATTCATATCTATAAGTATACCGACCTTCAGTGTGATGTCATACGAAAGATTACATCATACAATTATACAATCACTCTCGCAATTATCAAAATACACCTCTACAGCATTATCGACCATGTACTCTGGGAGACAATATTGACAGTTATGAAAATAATGTGTATATATATATATATTTTTTTTCCTATTTCTCTCGCCCTCGGTTAAATGTGAAGGGAAGAGTGGCTTATACATTATAATCTTATATCTTTGAGTTGAAAATATACTTGAGAGATATGTGATGACAGAAGTTGAAGCATGGAATTCCATTAGCAACCTGTCAATTGTCAGATAATTGGCATCACCTGGGTAGTTATGAGATGATTAGCAATTTCCTGTTAATTATCAAATTATTATCACCACCAACTTATCAGTTATTCAATAGGTTTCATCACCACCTCTCAATTATTATGTAATCACCACCACTAGTATGTCAACCCGTCAACCATCACCACCAGTCTGTCAACTTGTCATGTCATCACCAACCTGTCAACTTGTCATGTCTCCACCAGCCTGTCAACTTGTCGTCATCACCACCTGTCAACACGTCATCCATCAGTGTCAACTTGTCATGTCACCACCAGCCTGTCAACTTGTCATGTCACCACCAGCCTGTCAACTTGTCATGTCACCACCAGCCTGTCAAGCTTGCTGTCCAACTTGTCATGTCTCCGCCAAGCCTGTCAACGTCATTCACCAACCTGCCAACCATGTCACCACCAGCCTGTCAACATGTCATATCACCACCAACCTGTCAACTTGTTCATGTCACCACCAACCTGTCAACTTGTCATATCACCACCAACCTGTCAACTTGTCAATATTACCACCAACCTGTCAACTTGTCATGTCAACACCAGCCTGTCAACTTGTCATGTCACCACCAACCTGTCAACTTGTCATGTCACCACCAGCCTGTCATTAGTCATCACCAACATGTCATTCTGTCAACAGTCATCGCAAAGCTGTCAACCCGTCGTCAGTCACCATCAATCTGCCAACCCATCCTTTATAAACCTGTCATTAGTCATCACCGACTTGTCATCTGTCATCACTAACCTGTCAATCATCATCAGTCAGTCACCAACTTGTCAATTTGCCATCTGTCATCTTCATCTTGTTAAAGCATCTTCTAGGTGAGAAATAGAACAGAATAGAGTGAAAGAGAATTAAGATAATAATAATAATGATGATGATAATAATAATAATGATAACGATAATAGTAATAATGATAATAATGATAACAGTAATAATAATAATAATGATAATAGTAATAATAATAATAATAATGATAACAACAACAACAATAATAATAATGGTAATAATGAAAATAATAATAATGATAATAATAATAATAATAATAATAATAATAATAATAAATAATATATAATAATAATAATAATAATATAATAATAATAATAATAAATAATAAATAATAATAATAATAATAATAATAATATAAGACATCGAAAGCAGAAGAACAAATAAGATAAAAAAAAAATAGTAAATGATAATAAACAAATAAAATAAAAAATAGAAAATGATAATAAATAAAAAAAAGAAAATGACAATAAAAAGATAGAAAATGATAATAAATAATTCTAAAAAAAAAAAAAAAAAATGAATGAATAAAAAAAATAGAAGGCAAAAGGCAGACGATAAAAGAATGAAAGATAAAGAAGGAAGTGTATATCCTTCGCTTCCTCTGCCACCTCGTTCACAGTCACAGCTGATATGCTAAAGGCTTATTCCCTCTCCATACTTCCTTTTTATTGCTCGTTTTTCTTTCTTTTTCTCGGCCTCTGTCATCCTCTCTGTTCGCCTTGCCCCTCTGTATCTTTTTCCTTTTCTTTGTGCTTTCTCTCTCTCTCTCTCTCCCTCTTTCTCTCTATTCAGCCTGTCTATCATTTTTTTTTTTTTTTTTGTCTGACTCTCGCTCGCTCATCCTCTCACTTTCTGTCCCTCTCTCTCTCTCTCTTCAGTCTGTCTACCACATTTTTTTCTCTCTGACTCTGTCCTCTCTGTTTATTTTGCCTTTTCCTTTCTTTCGTGGCTTTGCTCGTTGTTTTTATTTTTTTTTATTGATCAGTTTATGTGATCGCGTGCCTGACTTTGTGCCTTTCTCTGTCTACCTGACTGCTGTGTCTCTGTGTACTCTCTCTCTCTCTGTCATACTTATCACTCTCTCTCTCTCTCTGACTCTTTTACTCCCTTTTTGTCTACTTGTCTTTGGCTTTCTCTCCTTTTTCGCAACTGATACAAAGTATTGGAGTGATAAGATCAGCACATTTATCCAGGGCGGGGAAGCGGCACAGCGCCCACCTGCAGTCATCCACTGTCATCGAACATGAAGCAGTTAATGAGAGCTGGGATTAGGGAGAAGACGTCGGAAACGTAGAGGTGCGGCCGCCACATCCTGTCGAAGGGAGAGACGGTCTCCTTCTCAACGGCGGCGTCCCCCAGATCAATGGAAACGTGTGGCGGGTGAGGTGCAGGGGCGGCAGGTTCCTGGGATGGGCGTTCTTCTACCCCGAGGGGTGCAGGGGGCACGTCGTCCGGGCGCTGTTCCGACGACCCCCTGCGCACCGAGGTTGTGACCTGTGATACGTGGTGGCGAGTTGATCGTCACTTGACCTGAAGACCTGTCAGAGCCGAGGCCACGCTCCCGCCCGAGTCGACGTCCCTGCTGGTCTTCAGGTACTTCTCGATGGCCGAGCCCAGAAGGCCCGCGTCGATGGTGGAGCCTGACGAGTCCCACTGCAGCTTGCTCTCGTCGACCTCCCCCTTGTCGGCTTCCTCGCCGGCCTCGTCCTCCTCCTCGGGCGCCTCCAGCGTGCCCGCCTGGCCCACCAGCGGCGCCGCCACGTAGTCGCAGTCCGTTCGCCGGATGGTGATGGGCACCTGCGGGCCGTCGGCGTCGCCGTCGCCGCCGCTGCTCGCATTTTGCTTGGCGTCCCAGCACACGGCTATGCTCTGGGAGCGACCCCTCGCCCGAGGGTTGGGCATGATGGGCAACCCGGCGGGCAGGGCCTCGGGCACGGGCAGCCCTGGCGGCGTGAGGCGGTGCGTGGGGCCGAGGAGGGACACCAGGTCATTGTTGGTGACCACGATGCCCGAGCGATCCGTGCCGGTGCTGAAGGAGTGGCGCTTCGGGGCCTCGACGGGAGACGCCGGGGTCGCCGTGCCGTGGTACGACCACTTGCGCGCTCGCCGGGCGGCCGCGGCCGTTCGCTCGTCGTCCTCGAGCTGCGTCATCTCCAGGACCTGCTCCACGGGCGACGAGCGGATCTTCAGCTTCACCATGCGCCCCCTGCCCCCCCGCCTCCCCCTGCTCCTCCCGCCCCCCTGCCCCTCCCCGGCAAGAGCTGCGGCTCCCGCCACGGGACTGCCGATCTCTCCGCCGTCATCGACCTCCGCGCCCTCCAGGTTGAGGCTGAAGGCCTTTTTCAGGCAGCGCTTGACCTTGGAGGCCGAGTTCCGGCGCGAGGGCGGGGTGTCGATCGGCTCGAGCGCGCCCGTGGGAGACTCCCGCGAGCCCCGAGACTCCCTGGAGGAGCCCCGCGAGAAGGAGCCCCTCTTGAGCGCCAGGGGCGTGGGGGCCCAGCGCTGCGTCGGGGAGCGCAGAGGAGGGGACTTGCTGGTCGGGGACCGGTTGACGGGCGACTGGCACGTCGGCGAGCGGCTGGAGGGGGAGCGGGCCGGACTCCTGTTCGAGGTGGGGCTCCGGCTGGAAGGACTCCTGCTGGCCGGGCTCCGCGACATCGGACTCCTCCCCGTGGGGCTGCGGCACGTGGGGCTCTTGCTGCCGGGGCTCTTGAGGGTTGGGCTCTTGCTGCGGCCGCGGGTGAACGACAGGATCCTGGCGCGGAAGTTGGCCCAGCTGGGCGCCTCGGGCTCCTCCTCGGGGGTGAGGAGGGCGTCGCCGGGCTCCTCGTAGTCCCCCTGGGGAGGATTCTGCTCCAGGGGCGAGTACGACGCGCGCCGCATCTGCCGACGGAAGGACAAGGCATTAGTAACAGGAACACAAATGCCTAATACCTAATAGCATCCATCTGTCTAT